TTTTTTTTTTTTTTTTCCCAAAAAAAAAAAAAAAAAAAAAAAAAAAAAAGCCTCTTTGAATTTGAAAAAATAAACCTTTTGGTTTTAAAAGGCACACATGTTGCGATGTCACATAGTACGTTCCAATTATGTCATCATGTGATACATGACAAAACCGTATATTGTTACTAAAATGAGTCATATATGGCATGTCCAATATAATGGAAATTTTGATGCATGGCATGGCTGCAGGGATGCACCATTAATTCAATAGCGATGCCGGTGACGGCCGGCTGGATAAGCGGGGCCATCACGGCCCATGGAAGGCAGTCGTTAGATGAGCAAACTGGATTTTCCTTTGTGAATTGCAGCATAGAAGGAACTGGGAAAGTGTGGCTTGGGCGAGCCTGGGGACCTTATGCAACTGTAGTATTCTCAAAAACATACATGTCTGATGTTGTGGCTTCTGATGGCTGGAATGATTGGAAAGACCCCTCTAGAGACCAGTATGTGACTCATACTAATAAATTGAGTAATTCTACTTCATAGCAAAAAGAAAAAGAAAAAAAGAAAAAGGAGTAATTTTTATGCGCACTATAATTTTTTTTACAAAATTTAAATACTAAATAATGTGCAAATAAACTTGTCAATACAATATAAGAGGTTAATTAACGAGACATGCATAACTATATCTCAAATCATCTGCCGTTAATTATATTGTAACAAGTCAGTTATTATATGATAATTTGATAAACAATTCGTTGCACTAAAATATAGATCCAACTTCTTTCTATTTCTTTTATCTGCCCGTTTCATGCATAAAATTCTTTAAATAATCATATACCACTAATCTGTTTTTTTTTTTTTTTTTGGCTAAATTTGAACCCAAATCTTTGATTAAACACCAATAGATTATTTTATGGACTGCTCAATCACGAATTCAATTATTAATAAATGTGCATATAATGAAAAATTGTGATTTTATTATTTTTTATTCTTTACTTAGCTATTGCTATATATTTTTTTATGACGACACAGGTCAGTCTTCTTTGGAGAGTACGAGTGTGAGGGACCTGGTGCAAATTACACATACAGAGCCTCATACTCAAAGCAGCTCCAACAATCTGAAGCAGAATCCTTCATGGACATCTCATACATCAATGGAAATGATTGGCTTTTAGATCTTCCTAATATATTTTCTTCTCCAAACCATCATAATAACAATAGGGACGAAGAGTTTTATTCATACTAGCTACCTAACTTTATAATATAATATACGTATAATCAATATATATAATATGGCAAAGTCTTTAAACCGGCGCCTACTATTTACCGGATTGAAACGATAATTGTATAATTCAGTATAAATCGTGTATATTTACATGTAAAGATGTATAATTAAGTATAAGTCTTGTATATTTACACATTGTACAATTCAGCATATGCCTTGTACAATTTAGCATATGGAAGTTGTACAATTGTAAAGATGTATAAGTTGTATGACAAGTTGTACAATTCATTATATATCTTGTATATTTATATACGGTAGTTGTACAATTCAGTATAAATCTCGTATAATGTCTTTCGCCGAATCAGTCAGATAAATAGTGCTTGCCGGACGAAAGATATTTCCTATATAATATAGTGCCATAATGAGTTATATATTATATAGTAGGGTCAGTACTTTATATAGGGTTGGTAAGTCATAATATTAATTACTCTCAAGATGTACAATATAAGCAGAGATTGTTATTTTATTTTTCTTTCGTAATGATGTGGGCTTCAAGTGCCTGGTTTAACGATACTAATGATAATAATAAATATTCATCATTCAATTTAGAATTTTCCATTTTTTTTTTAAAGAAATTAAGTTGGCATTTATTTGTAAGAAGCTAAATCAGCAATGACCACTCAATATGTTTAGAATTTTCCATGCTGCTATTTATTCTTATAAATCTCTCTCTCTCTTTTTTTTTTTTTTTTTGCCGCCTACTTTTATTAAATTTTTTATTCACTGCTGTTATCCTTTTATTATTAATGTGTGATCTCATTTTCCCATTCATTGTTTATTGCTTGGTTTTTAATCTTTTCGTTGACCTTTATTTATCCATAATCAGTTGTTTTCTTTTTAATCTGCTCTAGTTTTCATTTTTTACGTCGTTTTCTTTTATTTTATTTAATTACCGTTTTTTATTCAATGTCTGCTTTCTTCTAGTCCTATTAATTGTTGATTTGTTGTCATATATTTATTTATTGTCGTTTTTACTTGTTCTCTTCCCTTAAAAAGGGGGATTCTTGTTTACATACGTATTAAGATTTGTTGGTGTTTGTCTTTTCAGTTTTTCCTTATATAGATGTATTGTTTTCTTCCTTATTCCTGTTTTCGACTGACGTCGTATTTATCTGTATATGTCGTTTTCCGTTTTGAACTATTTTTCAATTACTGCCGTTCTCTTTTCAGTTATTTTTCAAGTGTTATCGTTTCTACTCTGTTATGGTATTTATTTATAATCGTTTCTCTAGTTGGTGTCTTGTTTATATATAATTGTCGTTTCCGCTCTGCTCCCCGCTTTTCTATTGTTTTCAGTTTTTGTTGTCCCTTGTACCGTTTGTTTACGGTTAGGTTACTTGGGTATGTTCTGTCGTTAACTCCTTCACCCTATTTAAAATTAATCCCGTTTTTATTTTTTACGTTTTTCAAAAAAGAAAAAATGAGAACGTTTTTAAAACGACGTTTAGCTCAATAAAAATAAAAAACGGAAATGAAAACGATTTTATTGGTTTAGTGTAAAATGAGAGAGAAATGAAAAATAACTTTTGGTCGTTTTTCATTTTTTATTTTTATTTTCTCATCTCTCGAGTAGAGAGAGAAAAATAGACTTTATTGGGTTTTTTTTACACTGACAACAATCTCTTGATAAAACTACCAAACGCATTTTCAAAAATGATTTCTGTCTGAGATTAAAAACATTTTCATTTTTATTTTCATACAAAAAATAAAATCATTTTGGAATGAGTTCGAAACGCGCCATTTGTTTCCTATTTCTTATTTATCGCTTTAATTCTTTCTTGGTTGTCGTTCTTTCCACAATTGTTGTTATTACTCACTGTCGATTTCTAATTCATCGCCGTTTGTCTTGTTGTGGTATTCTTTATTGTCATTTTTTTTTTACTTGCAGAAGTTGCCGGGGTGCGTTTAGTTTATGGATTAGAACTATATGATTAGAACTATTTTCGATTTACGTGTATTTTTTGTGAGAGAAAATACTGTAGCGAACCACGAACTATGATTTGAATCAAGGAACGAATCCATCTACCAAACATCAAAGTGTTTTCTACTTTTTTCCGTATCGTTAGAATCGTTAGCTTTCGCTTCTCCTTATTGTGTGTTCCATTTATTTTGTGGTCGTTGTTTTACGTTCATTTTTGTTTTGTTTTGTGTTTTTTTTCTTCCCTTTGTCATCGTTTTTATCTAAGCTGTGTGTGCGTTTCTTTTCTTTTTCTTCTTCTTGTCTGTCTTCCTATTGCTGTTTTCATATTTTTTTCCTTATCTTTTCCTTGTCGTTCTCATTCTTATTGTCGTTTGTATAATTTGTTTTCGTTTCCAGCCTTTGTCGTATTTTGTCCCCCCATTGTTGTATAGATTTCGCGCAAGGTTACTTTGAATTAAATTTGCACCAATGGCTTCTTATATCCGAATCATTAGAAATTCTTCAAATTACATGTTGCACGTGCTAAAATTTGAATCTGACAAAACAATATGACAAATTGCTTTAAAGCATGACACATTGCTAGTTTTTCTTGTTCCCATAGTAAACTAAAGATCTCAACTTTGTTGAAAGAAAAAAAAAAAGATTTTTAATGGCTGCAAATGGTTTTGCAATATCATCTTCAATTTAGAGAGAGAGAGAGAGAGAGAGATTCTCATCAGTAAAAAGAAAAAAAAAAGATCATCTTTGACACTTTGATTTTTCGTAAGATCCATATGGGTCTCGAAAAAGTTTCCAACTAATTTGAGCTTTTTGTATACTCGTACATTTTTTCTTAGGAGCCAAGCCAATGATTGATTGTTTTTTTTTTCTTGGGTTTCTGTTAGATTACGGGTTTTTTCTTTTTGGGCTACAAATTCTGTTAGATTACGCAAATAGTACTTCTGGTTGGAGAAGGAGAAAATGACGAAAGTAGCTTCTGCTCCGTTTTCATTTTCGTTTTCACGTTTTTTAAGAAAAAAAAATGAAAATGCTCTGAGGGAGCCGTTTGGCAGCATTTCTTGAAAAACAAAAAATGAAGACGTGAAAAACGAAAATGAAAACGGAGCCAGAAGCTACTTTCGTCATTTTCTCTCTCTTTTTGTTTTGGCTTTTTTTAAATCCATGTGTTGTGCATATGTGTAAGTGGTTGCTTTCATATTGCATTGATGTTTAGGTGAGTGGCTTTTTGTTTCTTGAGCATCTTTCCTTTGATCAGAAACAAATACTTCTTTTTGGTGCAATTGACTAATAATGAAGACAAAAATTCTCTATTTGTTCTTTCGTTGTGTTTGTTCTCAAGATAATGCCATTGAAATCTTGGAACATGCCGTAAAATGTTACAGTTGACTTCTTTCTTTCTCCGCGGTTTTGTGCTCATCGACGGATTATTTGTAGGGATGGCAATATTTCCCACAAAAATAGGGCATATTGTTCCGAACGGGCTGGGAATGAAGGACAATCATCAGGGATGGACACAAAATTTAGTCCTAACTTAACTCACAACATATCTCTCACGATACAAATGCTTCCCTCCCTAAAAGGAAACTTGAAGCTCAATACCATGGTTCTCTGCTGCTGGTCTAGCAATCCGTTTTGGAAATTACTATTGTTTTAATGTTACCAAAATTTATCCTATCAACGGAATCTTATGAATCGGACCAAGCCGACGACCGTCCCCGCACCAACCCAACCCATGAACACCCCTAGTTGATTCGAGTTTTTAATTTGAGTTGAGATGTGATTTTATGTGAAAACTTTTTACTGTAGTAAAAAAGTTAGATGTGATTGTTTCTGAGAACTTTTTACTATAGTAAAACTCGAATTCTAAACTTAAATCAGCAAAATGACATGTCAAATTCAATGTCCTCGTAATTGAACTTCCACAGATATTGTCTTCTTAAGATACTGCCCAAGAAAGAAAGTGTATTTTAACCTAAATCCTCTATCTTTACGACTGAGTGGTGTCATGATTAGTTCAAACTAAAGCAAGAGATTTTTTCATCTGAGTCTCACGGTGCCTTCTTAAATTATGATAAGAGTAACTGAGAGGCTTTTTTTTTTTTTTTTTTGGGGGTTTTTTTTTTTTTTTTTTTTTTTTTTTTTGAGTTTTGATCCAAAAGAATAAGCCCGTAATTTCTTTAAAAATTAAGTCTACTAATTAGAACAAGAGAAAAAAAATTGAAAAATCATATAAAAAATTAAAATTATATAAGAGTTTTTGACCAAAAAAAAAATTTAAGGCCTCGTTCATTTCACCGAATCGAGTTTTCAGTTTTAGGTTTCTACAGTAAAAAGCTCTCAAAAAATGTCACATCTAATTTTTTTTCTACTATAGTGAAAAGTTCTCAGAAAATATCACATTTTAACTCGAATTGAAAATTTAAATCCGCGAAGTGAACGAGGTCTAAATATAGACATTTGAAAAAAAAATTGTTACACCGCGGTCGAGGAATCGACCATTCCCTCCAACGACAAGCGCCGAGGCCTTCTTGGCAAGAATCGGTCGCTGGCGTCGAGAGTATTACAGTAGCTAGTGTGCCTTTTGGACGTCGAGAGCCCATGTAGGACAGTTGTCGTCGAGCACCTCGCTTGGCTTCATAGATATCAATTTAAGAGCTTATTTCACTTAAGAGCTTATTTAATTATCACTTTAGGACAGGTGCTCGACGACGTCGAGAGCCCATGTAGGACAGGTGCTCTACACAAGCATCATAGATATCTCTATCCTATGAACAACTCAAGGTATTTCACTTAAGAGCTTATTTAATTATCACTTCTCAGTCTCAAATCAAATACAAAATCATGTAATAGTTGGCCAAACAATCACACGCATTAAGAATAAATTGAAATACTCAGCATATATGGATTAAACATCAATTAGTTAAAAAAAGATTGAGAATCTGAACATTCATAATCCGGCTACATCGTAGCCCTAGAAAAAGAAATTAATTCATCTCTAAACAAGATAAATTCCTAAACAAAGTCTTAATCATTGGAAAGG